AGACATTTTCAAACCTTTTCTAAAATCAATTCTTTGTATTGAATTAAAGCGAGAGGATTGGGTGTAGACCTCTTCTTCTTCGAGTGTTGGGATGCCCACTGTAGTGAGGGTGGTCTCGATACTCGTCTTTCAATACAAAGATGCGACTTTGTCCACCACCTCTCACTTTCACAACTTCATCCCGCAACCCTTGTCACCTAAAAACCTCGGTCCCGCACCGAGTGCATTTCAAATTATTTTCACAACAAAAACTTGAATGGTCGTGGAGTGGTTAGGCGTAGGCCTTCTCCTATCCCGAGTGCTGACGTTTACCGTAGGGTTCTCTGTCACAAAGCACTTACCATTCAAAACCAAAAATATTTTAATAAGAGAACGAAGTTCTCTTTGCATTGAACTAAAGAGAGAGGATTAGGTGTAGACCTCTTCCTCTTTGAGTGTTGGGATGCCCACTGTAGTGAGGGTGGTTTCGACGCTCGTCTTTCAATACAAAGACACCTCGTTCGCCACACCTTTTCATAACAAAAAACTTTGAGATAAAGAATTGGGTACCGCCCGTAGGGGTTATTATCCGAGGACATGTCTCACCCCTAAAAAACAATCCAATCAATCAAATGTGACATCTTGCCTCGCATGGCGAAAACCTAATCATTTCAAAAAGGATATGTTACGTTCGTTCTACCGCAAACAGGTAACACCTAAGTCTCCAACGAGCGAGCAGCAATACGCCTAAACTGCTGGAATGTGCACGATAGCATCATCCATAAAAAACATCAACACACCGTAGGCCGAACTACGGCTGCTCTGATTCTTTACTTCGTTCAAGTAAAGATACGTAGGCACAAGGGCCATAATCCTTGTCGAGCACTTTCCCCCCAATATCCGTAGCCCCGAACTACGTCGACTCTGACTTTCTCATCCGTTGAGAATACGTAGGCCTAGGACCGCGAAGTCCTATCGAGTCTTTTCTTTCCTCCTTTACCTCTCTTTCTTGTTTCTAACCCTTCTTTTACCCCGTGGAACACTTCTTATAGCATAATGTTTAAGCAAATAAATTCACACATCGACAAACAAAAGGTTCCCATCGAGTACGATGGATGCGAGGGGTGCTAATACCTTCCCTTCGCATAACCGGCTTCTGAACCCGTTCATGGTTGCGAGACCATCTTATCCATTTATTTCTTAAGGTTTTCTCGATATTTTCCTTTCCCCTCATGGGATAAATAAAGTTCGGTGGCGACTCTTCTGTCTTTCTTTTTCGCCTTCCCGTCGTTGCGCGACGCATTTTTCGAGTAGCGACAGTATTTATTAAAATATAAATGTTAATATTTAATATATTATCATGAATGAATTAAAATGACTGGCGAGTATTTCTTACAGCACGTCTTTCTTATTCGTTTGAATTATAAACACTTCTCAATTAAAATAAGCATATGATTGTTCACTTATATAAAAGTATTTATATACTATTCAATGATTTGAAGCCTATTAAAATTATCCAACATATATAATTTGCTTATGCAAGATATATAAGCTACACACTTTTTTATAGACTTACATTTGACTTGTTCTTTGACTACGTAACTAATTTGGATTTTTTTATTAAAATGCCACGATTTGAAATAGTATGTATCAAATTGTCACAAGTTGAAAAAAAATGTACCAGAATGCCACAACTTTTGTTAGGGCTCGTCTAGTGGAAGAACGAACCTATGAAGAATTATTTCACGTTGAATAGGCTCGGCCAACCATTGGCCGAACCATTGAAGGCCCTTTTTTTTAATTATTAAAAATATAAAAATATAAATTTTATTATATTTTAATATATTTAATTGTTTTTTAAATATTAAAAACTATTTTGATGATTTAAAATATTAATGAATAAATAATTTAATTAAATTTATAATATTATTAAATATTTTCCATAACATTTAATTAATTATCTAATTAATTAAAATAATTTTTTATTAAATAAAATCATAAATATAAGCAATTTTATTAATATTATTGAGTGAAAAAAATACATCATTTTTGTCTACGTAAATGACCGCCAGTTCCACACATTTTACTCTTTTTCATGCATTTTCCCCTGCCTAACTCTTCGAGTTGTCGTCTTGTAGGTGATGAAGTAGAGTTGGAAGACAACTCTTCATCTTCACATACATTTTCAGGTTGATATGATGTATCGACCATATCCACATCGATAACAGAAAGACCTGGCCATTCCATGAGTTGATCATCAGTTAGGAGATAGTTGGAGGCTGACTGGGATGGTTGGTTGAAGGTTGTTAGAGGGCTTTGTTGGATGGGAGGGTAATAAACATCGTTAGTGCGGCATGTAGAAGTGGGTTGAGAGAGTGAAGGGTTAAATGTTTGGTGTCGAGGAATTAGAGTGAATATGAAGGATGGTCGAAATGTGGTTTGTTCCTAGTATTCTTGGTGGTAGTAGAAGTTAGGTTGCGGGGTTGGGGTGTACGGTGTTGGTTGTTGAGAAGAGGTGCAAAGAATTTGGTATGAGTGCTTTGATATGTTAGTTGGGGTTGTGTAGGTTAGGGGTGTTGGTATGCTTTCTAGGGGAATGAAGATGTCTGGGATTGAAATTGCGAAGGGTTCATCTGAGGGATTTCCTGAGGCATGGATGACGAGGATCTTTGTTGTGATGAAGATGATGCATATTGACGGGGGTCTTCTAGGAACTGTCCTTGAGAAGCATTCATAAATGGAATGGATAAAAACCATTGCATATATGCAGCGCTATGAACATAGTTACCATTAACCATGTTACCTTGCAAGGTCAATTTTTTTCCTGTTTTTCCACTCGTTGTTCTCTTCTCTATTTACATTGCGCCAATGATCTCCCCATGTATTGGGCATTTCAGTTTTATATTGTTTGCATAGACATCTAGGCTGAGAAGGGATATCTTATTGAAACCCAAACTACAATTTGACCCTATCAGCTTGATGCATTTCAACAATATGAAAAATGATGATTGAAGTGGTCGCACTCCAAATCTAGCTATCTGCAAGGACGTATTCTGGGTAGTTCAGGTAGGGCCTCCAAATAAACTGTTACAAAAAATATAATAGTTAGAGTTTAAATATAGATGTTAGCATCTATTTAGAGATTATGTAAATTGACGGAACATGGTTGTATGACAAGTACAAAGGGACTTTGTTGATGGTTGTGACACAAGATGGAAATGGTAACATTTTTCCGATAGCATTTGCACTGGTTGAAGGTGAGACCAAGGATGACTGGAGTTTCTTTCTCAGGAATTTGAGACTGAATGTGACCCTCAGGCCAATCTTTGTCTCATATCCGACCGACATCTATCAATCAAGAGTGCTTACGATGATCCTGAAAATGGGTGGCAGTATCCTCCATCTTCACATGTTTACTGTATCAAACACATTGCACAAAACTTCATGCGTGAGTTCAGAGACAAAGAACTACGGAAAACAGTTGTCAACATAGGTATGCCTAAATCTTCACGTGTTAATGTTTCAATAAATATTTATTGACTACTTGATTTTCATATGTTTTACTTTACATTTTTACTTTACATTTTTCCTACAGGATATGCATTAACGGAGACAACATTTAACTACTACCAGGACGAAATATGAAGAATAAATATAGCAGCTTTGGAGTGAATAGACAGTATTCCTAGAGAGAAGTGGTCGAGGGCATTTGACAGAGGACAACGGTGGGGACACATGACAACAAATTTGGCCGAAGTTATGAACTCGGTACTTAAGGCTACCCAAAACCTTCCTATTACTGCATTGGTTAAGTCAATGTTCTATCGTCTGGGATCACTGTTTGGAAAACAAGGAGACGATTGGACAAAACTATTGGCATCTGGTCAAACTTTCACAGATAACTATAATAAGGAAATGGCCGACGAAGCGAGTAAATCTATCAACCATAATGTCATCCAATTTTGATCGCGAGAGATTCTATTTTATGGTTGCCGAAAGGATTAATCAACACGATTGTCGGTTATTAGGTACTTTTAAAGTTGATCTCAGGAGGGTGGTGTGATTGTGGGAGGTTTCAAACATTTCATTTACCTTGCTCCCATGTAATCGCAGCATGTGCTAGTATACGGCAGGACCACAACATACACATACCATATGTTTTTAAGGTTTTGTGTGTATTCAAAGTCTACAACGAAAGCTTCCTTGGACTTTCACACCACAAAAATTGACCAACATATGAAGGATTTACTCTTTGCCATGACGAGACAATGCGAAGGAATAAGAAAGGGCGTCCAAATAGTACAAATTAGAACCGAAATGGGCGATCTTGAGAAAGAAAAGAGAAGATGTGGAATTTGTCGAGAAATTGGTCATATGCATAAAAAATATCTGAATGTAGCAGACCCGTCAAATCGATCCGTTTAAATTAACTTATTTATTTTTTAAAATATTTCTTAAATTATAATCTCTATTATATAAGTTTTAAATATTTTAAATTATCAAAATAGTTTTTAATATTTAAAAAACAATTAAATATATTAAAATATAATAAAATTTATATATTTATATTTTTAATAAAAAAAAATGGACCTTCAATGATTCGGTCAATGGTTGGCCGAATCCATTCAACCTAAAATTCTTTTTCATAGATTAGTCTTTTCATTAGACAAGCCCTAACAAAAGTTGTGGCACTATAATTAATTTTTTTTATAACTTGTGACAATTTAATCCATACTATTTTAAGGCGAAGCATTTTAATAAAAAAACCAATGACTTAATTAATTGAATGTTAATTTTCCAGATTCACTCTACTGCAGTAGTATCGAAGATTCATACCACTGCACCAAGAGTATGACATCTCAAATCAATCAAACTTCTGTTCCAGTTAAGGTTATCTCTTGGTATGATTGATTGATTATGTCATACGAGTTGCTTTCAAACTGAAAACGAAGCTCTGGAAATTAAAAGCCAAGTGAACAATATAATAAGTTTAGTCTTCACCTATCACTTTGTGTACCATAATGAGTTTCTCTATTCTCCACCTTATCTCATTCTTCATTCTTTTCCCTTTCTTGCAACAATCTTCCCATGCCATCAAAAAGGCAAGCTCAACTTTTCCAAGTTATTTTTTAATATACATGATAATTGGTTTATGAAGCATAGTTCAATTGTTTGAAAACTAAAATTCTTTTGTTGCAGTCTTATATTGTCTACTTAGGATCACATTCTCATGGACCAAACCCTTCAGCAACTGATCTTCAATCTGCAACAAATTCCCATTACAATTTACTTGGCTCACACTTGGGAAGGTATGTATGGTCTATAGCAAAGTTTTAAGAAATGTTCGCCGTCCCATAAAGGCTTTTGAGATTTTGGTCGCATAAAGGCTTTGCAATTTTGGTTGATACAGGTGTCGCGACACTGATTCAGTCGTCGCGGTGTGAATTAATCACAATTTGTTCTTTAATGTATAAATGGTGAATATCTGTATCAGTATCGGCACCTGCCAATACCGTAGGGCCGCAAACCTTTTCTTTTAAACCCTGGTCTATAGAACTCAATAAACTTTTGTTATGAGAGAGATTAAACTAATTAACTCTCCTCCTTTACTATATATTATTATCACCTTCATAGCCATCAGAAAGCTAAGGAAGCAATGTTTTACTCATATAATAAACACATCAATGGTTTTGCTGCTGTACTTGAAGTAGAAGAAGCAACAAAAATTGCAAGTAAGTGAATCTTCACATTTACCAAATCCTAATACATGTAGATTTTGGTATCTCTTTTGCTCAATTTTGATTTGTGCACATCAGAACATCCAAATGTAGTGTCTGTGTTTGAGAACAAAGGACATGAATTGCAAACCACAAGATCATAGGAATTTCTTGGGCTAGAGAATAATTATGGAGTGGTTCCCAAAGACTCCATATGGGATAAGGCAAGATATGGTAAAGGTACAATCATTGCGAACATTGATTCAGGTCAGTTTGTTATGTATCTATCGTCATCATTGCACTCAAAAGTTAATTTTCTACATTAGATTTTCAAAAGTGGAGGCTGGTTCTTGTCCTTTTCCTAACAAATTGTTTGTTTTGTTCTTGAATAGGTGTTTCGCCTGAGTCTCAAAGTTTTAGTGACGATGGAATGGGTCCGGTCCCATCAAGGTGGTGTGGAATCTGCCAACTTGACAATTTTCACTGCAATAGGTTTGGACTTCGTTATTTGTGCATATTTACTTCAACAAAATCTCTATCACTTAAATTGATGTTCAACAAAATTATACTGGAAATTGATAGGAGCAAGATTCTACAGCAAAGGCTACGAATCAAAATTTAGAAGACTAAACCAATCCCTTTATACATCACGAGACGTATTAGGACATGGAACACCAACATTATCAATTGCGGGGGGCAACTTTGTTTCAGGAGCTAATGTTTTTGGCTTCGCCAACGGCACTGCTAAAGGTGGATCACCAAGATCTCATGTTGCAGCCTACAAAGTGTGTTGGCTTGGAACAGTTGAGATTGAATGCACTGATGCAGATATCATGAAAGCTTTTGAGGATGCTATAAGTGATGGTGTTGATGTGATTTCATGCTCTTTAGGTAAAGGTAGTCCTACAGAATTTTTCGAAGATGGAATTTCTTTAGGGGCTTTTCATGCAGTTCAGAATGGTGTAATAGTTGTTGCTGGCGGAGGTAATTCAGGACCGAAATTCGAAACTGTTACTAATTTGGCACCTTGGTTGTTTAGTGTTAGTGCTAGCACAATCGATAGAAACTTTGTTAATTATCTTCAACTTGGTGACAGGAAGCATATAATAATGGTAACATTTTTGTTTTTTTGCCTTCCATGTCAGTTTATAAGGCTTAGTGGTTATTATGTGTAATAAGTTCACAAAATGTTTTAAAAAACGTCCGATTTAACTGGTTGAACCGAAAAAAATGGTCAGTTCACCGGTTTGTTTTATTCCACTGTGTCATAGTCTTGGTGAACCGGATTGAACCACTTTTTAACCACGGATGGTTCAACTATGGCTAGACCAATTGAACTATGATTTGAAGCTATCTGGTTCGATTTCCAGCCTGTTTTTTAAAACATTGGCTTCAAGTTGCATCTTATTTTGTACATAAATAATAAACATGTTTGTTTTCTGGCAGGGAACTAGTCTTTCAACAGGTTTGCCATACGAGAAGTTCTACTCCTTGATCAGTTCTGTAGATGCTAGAGTTGCTAATGCAACTGTTAATTAGGAAATAATCTTTGCAGTGATTGTGAATAATTTACATTTATAGAATAGGAAATTAGTCATTATGAATTGTAATTAGTCATTATCAGCTATAATTAGTTATTATGAGTTGTAATTACCGACACTATTATATATAGTATGAAAGGCAATGAGAAAGGCATCAAGCCAAATTTCGTGACATGGTATCAGTAGGTTCGATCAAACCTGGAAAATATTATTATATTGGCTGATCAGCGATACCCCACTGGTTCGCTCTCGTAATCGTGTTCGTTTCGAAATTCTTTCGTTTGAAATAGAAACCTTGCAGCTGTCTGAGATTCTAAATCTTTGGTTGCCGGTTCGTGATTTCGTCTTGGAGATTCTCGTTGTTGCGCTGATATTGCAATCAATTTTTTTTGGTTCTTGGCTGTTGTTGCTTCGTGATTCTGGATCGTCATAATCTTCTATTTTGCCGCTCCTTCCAAATCGTGGATTTGATCGTGCTGTTGTTCGTTGGTTCGTGGGTATTGTTTCTTGTTGCTGCTCTAGTAACTGTGATTACAGTTACTGTTATTATATTATAGTTATTATTATTATTATTATTATTATAATTATTATTATAATAATAATAAAATAATATTAGTGAGATTGTATCTGGTGGTTTAATAATTTAGATGGCTTCCGAAAAAGAAAGAGATAATTTTTGTGTTCGTTTTACCGGCAAGAATTATTCGGCATGGGAATTTCAGTTCAAGATGTATGTTAAAGGAAAGGGATTATGGAGTCACTTAGATGATGTTTCTAAGGCACCAACGGAGAAAACTGCTTTAGATGCGTGGGAAACTAAAGATGCTCAAATTATCACTTGGATTCTAAACAGTATTGATCCTCAGATGATAAATAATTTGCGTTCTTTTTCAACTGCTCAAGAAATGTGGAATTATCTGAAGCGCATTTACAACCAGGACAATTCGGCAAAACGTTTTCAGTTGGAGTTAGACATCGCCAACTACAAACAAGGTGATTTGTCTATTCAAGAATACTATTCTGGTTTTTTAAATCTTTGGGCAGAACACTCTGCTATTATACATGCTAATGTTCCCAAGACCTCTCTTGCGGCTGTTCAAGAGGTCTACAACACAAGTAGGCGAGATCAATTTCTTATGAAGCTTCGTCTAGAATTTGAGGTTGTCAGAGGTGCTTTGCTAAATAGGAATCCTGTTCCTTCTTTGGATACATGTGTTGGTGAACTTCTCAGGGAGGAACAACGTCTCCTTACTCAAGGAACCATGTCTCATGATACTGTCAGTTCTGAGCCTGTGGCAATTGCATATGCTGCTCAAAGTAGAAATAAAGGTCGTGATATGCAACATGTCCAATGTTTTTCTTGCAAACAGTTTGGACATATTGCTCGTAGCTGCAGTAAGAAGTTTTGTAATTATTGCAAACAACAAGGTCATATCATTTCTGACTGTCCCACGCGTCCTCCACGACCAGCACATCATTCGGTGAAGGCATTTCATGCCACTACAGGCCATACAATTGGCTCTTCCACCACTGGTGCATCAGATGGCAATGCTCTACAACCTGAAATGATTCAACACATGGTACTTTCTGCCCTTTCAGCCTTGGGTATTAAGGGTAAGTCTTCTCATGTTTCTCGTCCATGGTTTATTGATTCTGGTGCATCCAATCACATGACAGGTTCATCTGAAAACTTGCACAATTTACATTCTTATCATGGTAATCAGAAAATTCAGATTGCTAATGGTAATACCTTGTCTATCACTAACGTTGGGGACATAAACTCGGATTTTCAGAATGTGCTTGTCTCACCTGGACTTGCTTCTAATTTATTGTCTGTTGGTCAATTGGTGGACAATAATTGTAATGTTAATTTTTCTCGATCTGGTTGTCTTGTGCAGGAGCAGGTGTCGGGGAAAGTGATCGCGAAGGGGCCTAAAGTGGGAAGATTGTTTCCAATACAGTTTATTTCTAATCATTTGTCTCTTGCTTGTCATAATGTTTTGAATTCCTATGAGGATTGGCATAGAAAACTAGGTCATCCAAACTCTTCTGTTTTGTCTCATTTATGTAAAAGTGGTTTGTTGGGAAATAAAAATGTTATTCCTGATGCCTCTGTTTCATGTTCTGTTTGCAAATTGGCTAAAAGTAAGACACTTCCTTTTTCGTCTGGTGCTAATCGTGCTTCCACTTGTTTTGAGATGATTCATAGTGATGTATGGGGAATGTCTCCTGTGGTTTCTCATGCTCACTATAAATATTTTGTCACATTTATTGATGATTATAGTCGTTTTACTTGGATATATTTTCTCCGTTCTAAATCCGAAGTGTTTTCTATGTTTAAGAAATATTTGACATATGTTGAAACTCAATTTCAAGCAAGTGTTAAAATTTTTCGATCTGACTCTGGTGGTGAGTACATGTCTCATGAGTTTCAGGAATACCTTCAACAAAAAGGCATCTTGTCTCAACGGTCTTGTCCCAATACCCCTCAACAAAATGGCACGGCAGAACGTAAGAATCGTCATTTGCTTGATGTAACACGCACCTTACTTCTCCAAGCTTCTGTACCATCCCGTTTTTGGGTGGAGGCTCTTTCCACGGCTGTCTTCTTGATCAATCGTATTCCTTCTACAGTTATTGATCTTGATTCTCCTTTCTTCCGTCTATTTAAAATTCATCCTGATTATAGTGCTTTACATACTTTTGGGTGTGTGTGTTTTGTTCACTTACCTCCTTTTGAAAGGCATAAGCTTGGAGCACAATCCGTTCAATGTGCATTTATGGGATATAGTAACTCTCATAAGGGATTTGTGTGTTATGATGTCTCTAACCATCGTTTTCGCATTTCTAGAAATGTGACATTTTTTGATAATCAGTTTATGTTTCCCTGTGGTTCTCCTGCCATTAATGATATTGTTACTCTTCCTAAGTTTTCTATTATGCCTCAAGCTATAGAACGTTATAAACCAGGTCATGTATATGTCAGAAAACACAGACAACAGGTTCCCACACCCCTTCCCGATGCTGAACTGCCACCTGATCCTGTACCGGTTGAACCACGACGTTCTGGTCGAATATCCCGCGCACCAGATAGATATTCACCAGACAGGTATGATTCCTCACATACTTCTCTGACTGCCACACTCTCTAGCATATCTATTCCTACTTGTTACTCACAGGCTGTTAAAGATGTGCGATGGATAAAAGCAATGACTGAAGAGCTCCAAGCTCTTCAAGAGAATTTCACATGGGATATCGTCACTTGTCCTCCAAATGTAAAACCTATAGGTTGCAAATGGGTGTATTCTGTGAAACTGAATTCTGATGGGTCCCTCAACCGTTACAAGGCTCGTTTGATTGCGTTAGGAAACAAGCAGGAATATGGAATTGATTATGATGAGACATTTGCACCGGTTGCCAAAATGACAACTGTCCGCACAATCATGTCTATAGCTGCTTCTAATGGGTGGACTCTTCATCAAATGGATGTGAAGAATGCTTTTCTCCATGGTGACCTGACAGAAGATATTTATATGACTCCACCTCAAGGCTTATTCTCTTCATCTAAAGGCGTGTGTAAGCTCAAACGCTCCTTATATGGTTTGAAACAGGCACCTCGAGCATGGTACGAGAAATTCCGCGCCACTATACTTGGATTCTCCTTTACTCAGAGTCAGTATGATTCATCTTTATTTATTCATAGCACATCTGCGGGTATTGTTCTGCTTCTTTTGTATGTTGATGATATGGTTATTACTGGTTCGGATCATGCTTCCATTCAGCGACTTAAGCAACAGCTACAGGCCTCATTTCATATGAAGGATCTGGGTAATCTACATTATTTTCTTGGTCTTGAGGTTCATTCTACATCCAAGGGCATCTTTCTCCATCAACACAAGTATGCTACAGATTTGATTTCTATGGCCGGTCTTGAATCGGCTAATCCAGTAGATACTCCTCTTGAGGTTAATGTTAAATATCATCGTGATGATGGGGATCTGTTGCCTGATCCCTTATTGTATCGACAACTTGTGGGTAGCCTCAACTACTTGACTATTACTCGCCCTGACATATCTTTTGCTGTTCAACAAGTAAGTCAATTCATGCATTCTCCTCGCCATCTTCACTTGGCTGCAGTTCATCGTATAATTCGCTACTTAAAAGGAACCTCTCACCGCGGATTATTCTTTTCCGTTGGAACTTCTCTTCAGTTGAGCGCTTATAGTGATGCTGATTGGGCAGGGTGTCCTGATACTCGTCGATCTGTTACTGGTTGGTGTATGTTTCTTGGTTCTTCATTGATCTCTTGGAAAAGTAAGAAGCAAGCAAGAGTTTCTAAATCTTCTACTGAATCAGAGTATCGTGCCATGTCTGCTGCGTGTTCAGAAATACTTTGGCTTCGTGGTCTTTTGGCTGAACTTGGATTTCCCCAAACAGAGTCAACTTCACTTTATGCTGACAATACAAGTGCCATCCAAATTGTTGCAAATCCTGTTTTTCATGAACGCACCAAACATATCGAAGTTGATTGTCATTCAATACGTGACGCCTACGATGATCGAATAATATCACTTCCTCACGTCAGTACGCAGTTGCAGGTTGCAGATATTCTTACCAAGGCTGTTCCACGCCCAAGACATCAGTTTCTTGTTAGCAAATTGATGCTCCTTGACCAGCCGCATCAATTTGAGGGGGGATGTTAATTAGGAAATAATCTTTGCAGTTATTGTGAATAATTTACATTTATAGAATAGGAAATTAGTCATTATGAATTGTAATTAGTCATTATCAGCTATAATTAGTTATTATGAGTTGTAATTACCGACACTATTATATATAGTATGAAAGGCAATGAGAAAGGCATCAAGCCAAATTTCGTGACAGCAACAACAGAAGATGTGTAAGTATCGATAGCTCTGCCTCTAAGTTTTGTGTTATGTTTTTATTCTCTACATCATTGTATATATGTCTATGATTCATGGCAGTGAAATTTGTAAC